GCACAAGACTTGCTGGCTGAGGGTTGGGAGGGGAGGAAAGAGGGACAAGGAAAAGTGAGGAGGGCAGTGGGAAGAGACAATTTTAAGATATACTTTCCAGAAAGGGGAAACAATTCACCGTGAATAAACATACACAGAAAAAACTGGAAGCTGAATATTAAACTATGTCTTAATGCTAGGTAGATGAAAACCATTCCAGAATGATCTCTACTTGGATTCTCTGCTTACACTTGGGGGGGGGGGGTAGGGAGAAAGAAGAAACCTATATCTTTTCCCTTTTTTCACTCTCCCCTAGGCATAATTATTCACTTGGTAGTCATACCACAAATACTCCTGAGTGGCAAGATCAAAATGCTTAACGTATGATACAACAATAGTCCCTCCTGACTAGTCTACTATAACTATATATGGTACAATGGTAGATTTTTTTTAAATCCATCCCAATTCTATATTAATTCTTGCCTTCAGAAACAGCAGCTTTGCTCAGTCTACACCAAATATATTCACAATGGCAGGGCAAAAATAGCTCAATGTAAATTCATATTTGCTTAGAAGTGGCAAAGTACAGAAATATCTTTGATAATTTGATACTACTTTGAAAACACTGACCATAAAAGAATATGGGCCAATGATGATACCTCCAGATATGTTACAGCCAAAAGACAAACAACCAGTCTTTCTGCCCTCAGAAGAAGGTTTAGTAATATGAAGCTGCTAGTGCTACATTTCATATACATTAAATTACAAGGGGAAAGGGTCATAATTTTGTTTAAAAAATAAACTAGAAGGGGCAGCTAGGTGGTGCTGTGGATACAGCAATGGCCCTGGATTCAGGAGAACCTGAGTTCAAATCTGACCTCAGACACATAACACTTACTAGCTACATGACCCTGAGCAAGTCACTTAACCCCATTTCCTAACTCAAAAAAAAAAATAACAACAACAATAATAAAATAAACTAGAAAAGCAATTAAGGGAGAAGGCAAAAAACATCTGCAACTGCCACACAAAGAGTACATATGCATACATAATTTATTAATTGAGTTATAACTAAATGTATTAAGCTGTTTTATTATCATGTGTGAACTGATCAAATCCAATAACAAACACATACAGTAAAATGAAAGGTTTCAAAACCATTTAGAGTTTTTAAAGCCATGAATAATTGGTGCTTAAGTTTAACTGTGAAGCAATTTATATTTCACTCAACCCTTCAAAGTCAAAATTAAATTTGTATCCCAAAAAGAATTTTATCAGTTCAAAAAAGAATATTAATTGCTTTTGATGTTGGCACTGTGAATACATATTCTCAGAGAGACACAGTTCATCTTTAAAACGGTCACTTATTATTTCATTTACAATAAATACATTTTCAGAACTTTAACCCAATACTAATACTTCAAAAACTGTCATCCTTCAGGATATTTAGATAAAGAGTTTTCAGAACACAGAACACAACACTTGAAATTTTAGACAAATACATGAGAGGGAAAAAATACAAGGCTCTCACGTACCAGTTGTGAACCATTAACTTCTGCACAGCCAGAAGAGCATTATAGCGAACCTGCTGGTCCTCATGATGCATGTGGTTCATCACCAGCTGCTTCCCACCAAGCTGCTCAATAACCCTGTGGAAGAGAGGAGACTTTGTGATGATGATGCAATTATTTCCAATCCCTTGCTGTTAAGAAATAAAAAGTTCAACTAGTTATAGATAGACATAAAGGGATTTTTAAAAGTAAATTTAATAACATTAGTGACTGTACCAAAAATGTATATACTTGTAGCTTGCATATTTTTTCCTGAAGCTTGAAGTATATATAGGAGGTATTTATGCTCTATTTTAGACTCTAAAATGAAAAGTCTGTTATTTCCATTTCCTGCCATATCATGTGCGTGTGTTTGTGTGTGCACATGTGTGCACACATGTGTGCATGAAAAGCTCCACAAGGAGGTTGGGCCTTAAAAGGAGGAACTTCAATAGGCAAGAGATGAGGAAGACAATAATTACACCTTTTTATAGTGATTTAAGATTTATGAAGCACTTTACATATATTCCCATTTTATCCCTACAAAAGATAGTTTTTGTCCCTACTTGAAGAAAAGGAAAGTAGAGATCAGTGTAATAGACGCTTCTATTTCAGGGTAAAAGGACTGCAGAGGTAAGTATCTAGTTCACCGTCCTCACTTTATGGAGGAAGAAACACAGGCTCACTGAGGTGATAAAACTTGTCCAAGATCATCCACATGGAAAGTGGCGGAGCTGAGACTTGAATGCAAACCCTCTAACTCCAAATCTAAATAACAGCAGGATTTAAAGAGCTTGTAGTTTGCATATTATTTTACTAGGGAATGAGCAGCACTAAAACTTTTCTGAGTAAAAAAGTAATGTCATCATACCAATATATTGGGAAGCACATTCAGGAAGCCATGCAGGGGACAGACTAGAAAGCTTCAGCGCTGGCTCTACTGAGGGGTTGAGCATGGAAGCCCTTTACGTGGAAGAACCCAGTGCCCTATGGTCTGGTGTTACTTTGGTGCAGGTCAGTGAAACAACAACAACACTGTGCCCTTCCATGGACACCCAGCCCTTTTCTAGTCACAGGGGATGTCCCAGGCCTAGCTCTATTCAAGACTGGTTTGGAGATGCCAACCTTTCACATGAATGTACTACCCTACAGTCCACAGCTACTCTTCCCCAGTCACTCCAACGATGCTGAAGCCAAGGAAAGAGAATTCTTAAGCTAACAAGGGAGGTGGAGGAAATCACAAGAGGTACAATAGACAACTTCAATGATTACATGAAATTTGAAAACTTTTGCATAAACAAAAGACCATTACTTCTTCCTGGTTTTCCTCTTTACCTGCACTTCAGGTTCTTTGGAGGAGGTGGTCCCCAAGAATTCAGTAATCATAACAAGTGATTAAGAGTTAAGGACATATTGCGTGTTAAAAGGTTGTTCTGGTTTCTTTTTTAAATATGTGAGAAGTTGTAAGGTTTAATTATTTTACTTTGCCCTAGATAATTTGTGCAACATTGCAACAAACAGAACTGTCCCAAAGTGGCATGGGCAGCCTTCTAGAAATGATGGGTTCCTCCTCTTTGGAGGTCCTTCAAGCAGAAGCTAGATGATTATTTGTTGGGTATGTTATAGTGGGAATCCCTTTCACATACAGGCTGAACTAGATACTGCTGACATCCCTTCCAACTCTCAAATTCTACGAGTTCAGTTTTGGTTAAGGTCTGGCAGGATATACAGGTAGAGCTGTCTGGGTAGCAGTTGCTAGTATGTGACTGGAGCTGGGGGTGGGGAGGGGGGATAGGATGGGGAATTAAATTTGGCCATCTAGACTTGGGATCAAACTCTTCAGAGATAATTGAACCAAAATAAGCTGGTGACATCACCACGGGAAAGTATATAAAAAGAAAAGAAGGTGTAGGAAAGAACTTTCTAGGTTTCCCAGACATTAGCAAATAGAAGGAATGAGCTAAGGAAACAAAACAAGAGAAGTAAGAAACACAGGGGATACCAGGAAAGAGCAATGTCAAGGAAGACAAGAGAGCCAGTCAACAGTGCCAAATGCATAAAAGGTCAAGAAAGATGACAAATGAGAGAAGACAATTCATTTGGTGATCTTTGAGAAAGTAATTTTAGAAGAAATATGGGTTGTTAAATCAGATTACAAGAGAAGTGTGGCAGTGAAAAAAGTGAAACATCCAGAGAGTTTTCAGAGAGTACAATCTTCATAGGTCAATAGCTTGGAGAGGAATAATCTGAGATGATAATGAAGATACAAGTTATCTTTATACCAAGAAATAAAGGAGGGGAAAGAGAAAGGCAGGTGAGGTATAGTGGAAATGGATGTTAGTAGAGTTAAGAAGGTGGATTATATGAAAGTTAGTCTTTCAAAAGGTAAAGAACTACCATGAATATTTAGGTACCCAAGGAAGTAAGATGAGTCAGGAGTAGCCAAGAAATCAATAATCTAGATACCAAACTCACTAGAGAAAGAAAGAACATAACCTGGAAGTCAATAGATGATAGAAACAAGAATGAGGATGGCATGATTGATATAGGAGAAGCTAATTGAAAAGGACCTTGTCATGGTGTCCCAAGGAGTTTGCACAGTTCAATGAAACTATGAGCTATGCTATGCAGGGTTGTCCAAGATGGATAAGTCACAGTGAAGAGTTCTGACAACAATTTTCTGATCCACTGGAAACAGAAGTGTCAAAACACTCTGGTATCTTTGCCAAGAAAACCTCGTGGGCAGTACTAAAGTGAAAAACGATATGACATTAAGAGATGAGCCTCTCAGGTCAGAAGGTATTTAACACACTACTGGGGAAGAGCAGAGACAATTACAAATATCACCAGTGCTAATTAAGCAGCTGGGCCAAAGCCAAAAGGAAGATCAGCTGCAGATTTCCTGGTGATAAAAAGGAAAGTCCAATGCTACTTCTGTTTCACTGACTACACAAAAACCTTTGACTATGTGGATCACAACAAAATGTGACAAGTCCTCAAAGAGTCCAGATCATTTTACTTGTCTCCTGAGGAACCAGTATAAGGGCCAGGAAGCAACAATTAGAACTGAACATGAGCGGCAACTAGGTGGTGCAGTGGATATAGCACTGGCCCTGAAGTCAGGAGGACCTGAGTTCAAATCTGGCCTCAGACACTTGACACTTACTAGCTGTGTGACCCTGGGCAAGTCACTTAACCCCATTGCCAAGCCCAAAAAAAACACATTGAATTTTAGGGAGCAGCTAGGTGACACAGTGGCTAGAGCACCGGCTCTGAAGTCAGGAGGACCTGAGTTCAAATCCAGCCTCAGACCAA